AAACAGAAGCATCTTAACTTTGTGGTATTGAGAAGCCAGTCTTGGGTGCACGTGCTCCCACACCCCTGAGATGCTTTCAGAGGAGCGTCTGCGAAGACTTCTGAGCAGTTTCCTCTTTTTGTGATTAAGATGCTCAGGAAGCAAATTCTCTTTGAGATTTCAGTACTTTCATGGGCAATTCCTCTTTAATCTTTGTGATTCAGAGTTGATTTTGTATTTGTCATCTATTCAGTAAGGCATTTTTCTAAGCCTGTTTAGCCTATACAGAGTCACCCTGGAGTAACAGCGGATGATGATCAGCTGTTGTTGGAGACAAGTCCTTGCTGAAGAGTCAGGGGACTTTGCAGTCTATTTGAGGCCAAGAAAGGAATGCAAAAGGGTAAGAGGAGAAAAGCTGCCCTGTTGATAGAACAGGGAAGAGTCTGCCTGGGAGATGAAATACTGGGGGAAAAGGAAGAGCGATGCCTTTCAGGAGGCGAGCTTGGTGACAGTAGAGGAACAAAGCAGCAGAGAGGAACTCGGAAGAAATAAAACAGCAAATGTGATGAAACATGGTGCAAGTCAGGGAAGAGATTTTGACTTTCTAGTTGTGAAACCAAGCCCTTTGGAGGGCTGGCTATTGAAAATTTGATAATATTTGGGTTAGGATGAATGTTGGTGCCAACTGTGTGAGGCTTTCCTTTTGGTTTAGCTGTTTGCGTCTGATTCAGGATGGGTTTAACTGCCAAATGGATGCATCAAGTATGGCCTGGCTTGTGTTTTTTTTGCTTACATCTTGATTTAGGAAATATGCAGACGTTAGCACCTCATATAGCGATAAAGAATAGCATGCAAAATCTTGTACTTAAATACCATGTTTGAGGGCATATATGTGTGTATATATATATATATATGTAAAAGTAGACAGCAATATGACGCTATATTAGACTTTCCTAAAATTTCCAAGTAATACTAGCCTTGTCAGAAACTTTCTGTGTTTCAAGTAGTATTGGTTGGAAAACCGGTTCACTTGCTGCCTTTTTCTCTCTGGGCAGATCAAACCCCCAAAAATGGAATAAACAGTTCGCATAGGGAATGAGTAATGATGCTATAAGTCACACATGGAAATGTAAAAAACAGGGTGACCTTCTGTCTGCATCCCATCCCCCTCTTAAATCTGTTATGCTGAACATATTTTTGGAGCTTCTCTTGAGCTTGTCCATGTGTGCTGGTCTGCAAGTGCTCGTGAGAATGCACTGCTCTTGCAGTTCACATGTGTTTCCAACCTGAAAGATCTTGTTGGCTGTATTAACATATTTGTTTAAAAAGTGGCTGCTACACTCCAAAAAATGGACAAGAATGCACCAATGTCCCTCAGGCTTCCTGTCCTAGTTTTATAAGATTAATTATTTAAAAAAAAAAAAAAAAGAAAAGAAAAAGAAAGAGAAAGGGTTGCATTTCTTTTTATAGAACAGTGAAAGTAGCTTTAAAATCACTTTAAAGTTCAAGCAACATAATTGCTGAATCATTCTTCTGGAAATGCTTTCTGATTCATTTGAAGTACAGGAAAACTATACACGGATGTCCTTAAGATTTCTTGATGGCTTTGTGAAAACCCAAGAAGGGTTTCTGCAGAGCTCTGCCTTAAAACGCCTTCCTACTGATGAAGTGTAGACCACTACAATCTAAGTTTTACCTCCCTTTCATCCAGTTAGTGAAGCCTGTGTGCTTTAAATCTTTCCCAGGAACCTCAGACTCTGTTGTTTGATGATTTTTCTGCAGCATTGGGAGAAAATGTTGAAAATCTATTCTCCCATACATGCCATTTTTAATCAAGCTGGGAAATACTTAAAAGAGTATCTGCAGCAGAGTTTGTCAAGTACAGTAAACATGGGAATCGGCAAAGCCCAAGTTCATCTCAAGGGGAGCGGGGTTAGCCAAATACAGAGGGCTAAGCTTTGTACTGTGGCAAAGTTCGTATTTGAACATCAAACAAGGACCACACACATATGTGCATATGTTCTTAGCTGCCTAGGGTGCTTTACTGTCTCCATTTATTGCTGAAATAGTGTGGTTTTTTTTTCCCTGACTGCTTAAATTAACAATTAATTCAGCAATATTCTTTTATCTTTAGCTCCTTGTTCCCTCACAAGTACTCTTGAATCTATTCATGAAAATATTATACAAGTGTGTGTCTGTGTATGCTTTTGTGCACCTTGTTTCTTTGTAGTCTGCCCTGTGGAAACCTCAACATGGCTTTTGCAGCCCAAGCAGCAGTGTATACACATGTACCAGTTTTTAGTTTGATTTCTATGCAATTATCTGAATATCTAAGTTTTTGTTTAGATTGGTGGGCATTTTGAAAGCTAAGTGAACTTTGAAGAGGTCAGTTCTATTGTCTGTTTTAAAACCTGTTTGCTCATCACCAGACTTGTTTATTTTCGGCCTCAGATCAGCTGAGTTTTACCAGCTTTTCAGGAAACTCAGGTTCTTGGAGCAGATCAGGACTTGATATTCATGTGGGGTTTTTACACATACAGAACATATTTAGTGTAGGCTGTGTATTTTGTTTTTAATTTGGTTAAGGCTGTGTAAAATTGGCTATTATCTGAAGGAGACCGTATCTTAGAGCTATTTCTTCCGTCAAGAGCCTAATTGCAAAAACAGTGAGTGCAATGTAAGCACATTAGTCTCCTAGTCTCTGCTATTGAGAGCTGGAAAACGAAAAAGCAAAGGGCTGTAGCAGCACCATTTTTAGGAGGATCTTTCAAGTGCATTGCACAAGTCAGGGCTGAGATTAGACTCTAGTATGCATACAAAATGAAAAGCAAACATTAAAGCTAGTTTATATATTTCTGTAAAGCTTACTTTCGAGATGATAACCTCGTGTGTGAGTGCTTGGAAAGTGATACGACCACCAGTGTGTGCCCTAAGAAGGTTGGCGAGAACCGTGGTGTCTTCTGAGGGTAGAAGCTTTAAGGCGACTGAGATGGTCTCCGAGGCTGTGGGAAGGCGCTGGGGTGGCCAGGCCGGCAGGGCCACGCGCAGCCGTGCAGCAGCAGTGGGCCGGGGACGGGCGCCGCGTTCGGGCGCTGCAGCTGCCCCAGCCGGGGGCACAGCTGCTGCCTGGAACGCTGCCCACCATCACAGTAGGTTAAATGCCTGCACAGGCCGCATCAAAGGGCTTAAATGCGTCGTTTCTGAAACGTACTACAGTTTGTTTGGACGCTTCTCTACCATATTGCTGGAGAACATTGCACATCTGGGTTTCTTGTGTCCTGCTTGTGCAATAGAATCTTGAGCAGTGATGAGGAGATTAGAGCAAAATTCCAAACTGTACCTATCCCAAATTGGCATGCACTGGATAGTTAAAATGGAAAACAATTTCATGCTAAGATGTATTGAAATTTCACAGGGCGGGGCAAAAAATTAAGTCGTAGTCTCTCCAGCTGCCTTGCCCACTTTTCTATAGCATGATTGAATTTCTTATCAGTAGTTTAGTGATACATGGATAACTGAATAATACAGTATACCAAATGTGCAATATGTTGCTAAGATAGTTTCAAATGTCCAAAGTTATTTTAAAAATTTAGATTGTGTGCGTGTGTATATTTATACATATATATATATTTCTGCTTTTGCTTTTATGTCTGGCTAAATAAATTCTTTGTTCCAATCCTAACCCTCATCAGTTAGGAAAAGCCAACTGGTACGCGTCAATCTTGCCCACGAAACACATGTTGGGCAATACTATGTGAGAGCTGTTCAGTATGTTAGCTACGCATTTAAATGTGTGAAATACTTCAGCAACTGTCTATGAAATGCAATATGCATCCTATCTTAATGTAGAAAGTACTAATAAAAATTTCAGCTCTGCAAGTATCTTCCTTTGAGGCAATTTTCTTGGCAAGTTGATGACCCATCTCGTCATTACGGGGATAAGGAAGGGTATCTGATAAATTAAAGGTGCCTTTTTCAGGCTGCAACAGGGAAGAAAATAGAAAAGATTAGGTAAAGTTTGTCTCTCAGAAAGAATCCTTCTGCAAACCTCAAAAGTAGCAACTGGCTCCTCCATCCCCACCCCAATTTCTTGCTTTCAAGTAGCCTTTGGAAAGGCATGCAGTGCATGCACTAGTGTTCTTGGTGGAGAAAGGTTGTTCTGCTTGACGTTGCACAGATATTTTTTAATGGGCAAAATTAGCTCTTCCACATAATGGATGGTACATTAGCAGGGCATGTCTGTCCGTGATTTTTGTTATATGAGAGATTACAAGTTGCATAAAAAGAATTAGTGTCCTTTGATTTCCTGCTTGCTTTGCTCTTTTTTTTTTTTCTTCTCCAGACACTTAACCAGTTGCTATCAATAAAGTAGTTATTAAGACATGCCTAGTGGAGGTAATTAGTGAGGTAGCAGCATTCTGGAGAGACTAGTGCCAGGCCTGACATTGTTCACTGAAGAAAACATTGGTCTGGAAGTAACTGCAAGATAAGTGCAGCAGGTAAAAATTGTCACTTGAAGTGTGATAAAATGGTAAACAGGGAAGGCATCTGGGCAGTTAAACCAGGTGATCTTCGTTACTGACCACTGTGGTGAACTAAGGGATGTAGGGATGTACACTGAGTCAATTGCAAATGAAGCCTCTAAGATGCATGGGGTGAAGGAGAATGTGAATGGATCCTGCTGTATCCTGGTAAAAAGTAACTCTGGTGCATTTAGCAGCCAAGTGGATAAATAGGTGTAACCCAGCATGATATTATGGTGGAAAACCTATCAGTCTCATAACTTGATTGTACTTAATTAGTGGCCGTTATCTTTTCTCAGAGGGTTAATTTCCTGTTCTTCAATTGCCTACAGAAAGGAATAAAAATAGAGGGCAAAGTGATGAATGCAGTGTTCTTATTTTGAAGTGTAAATTGAGAATTGAGCATAAAATTGCTATTTTAATAGTGTAAGACTACTTTTTTATGGATATGTTTCCAAGGGCATAACCATGTTTTTTTTTTTTTTTTTTTTTCCCAAGGTATGGGCTGAAACCAAATGACCAAATCTTGGCAGAGGAGAAACACAAAGAATTGTAAGCTCTTCTATATTTCTACTGATATATATGCATGTTAAGATGTATTCACTTTTCTATGTGTATACTTAAGGTATGTACTTCTTATTTAAGGTCTGGAGCAGAAGGTTTGTGCATTTAGAAACATATTTCAGCTCTTTAATATTATGTGCTGTAAATTAATACAAATAGCATAACTTGGCTGAGAACCAGTTGAGTTCCTTTTAAAAGAAAAAAAAGCAAATGAATTTCAAAGAATAAAAGCCTGATTTTTTCATTTTTTGAGGTGTGCTATTAATTGCAGTTTATTCATTTGCACTTTAAATGTCTGAGTATTTATTTTAATTGATGCTTTGTGTGTTAAAACTGTTACCCTGGTCCTTACTGCTTGCCTGCAGTAAGTCTAAGTGATTCTTTTTCAGTCTATCAGAAACTGAAAGGAGGACTTTTTCAGGTAAAGTGTTTATTTTTTATTTAAACTTGTGATCTCATGGGCATCCTTAACCATTGCAAGCTCTAGTCACGCAACTAGCTGTGCAGCAAACACCCACCAATGTCCTATTAATTATAATAAAATATTTTCTCTTTTGCCAAGTCTGTGTAGCCTGAAAGTTCTCTTCATGGAGGGGAAAAAATCTATTGTGGATGTATTTAATTTTTGAATGGCTCTTTCTTCTGTCTTGAAATAGAAATAGCCAGAGGTAATCCAACTACAATGTTTGGATTACCTACAATCCTACAATGTTTTATTACCTTAAACATTAAAACCTTAAATGTTTGTGTTCCTTCGTTAAAGAGATGCCCATATCAAGTAAGCTTGAATTTCAAATATATTCTAATTCTGGAAGCCAAGTATTAGAAATACTGTTAGGTCCTTGGCAAACCACTGAAAGCTGCCGAAGAAACCTTCAGTGAATCAATATGACATTTATTTTGGAGCCACCTCCGTGTTCGGACAAGATAACCTTTACTTTTTATTTTGACTCATTAGTTACTAAATTACAGCATTAAAATTGAAAACAAAATACTTTATAGTATGCCTAAGTATGTTGATATATGTTTGAAAAAGGGAAAGTATTAATACTAGTCAATATTATCAAGACATGAGGGAGAAAACTTTGAGTTTAATAACTACACCTACTTTATTATTTAACTCATGTTCTTTTTTCAGTTATAGTCACTTTTAAAACAGTAACTGAAACTTTTAGTTGCTGACTTTGTGAATTGTATACATGTTTTGAAAGCGGGGGAGACTTCCTTGAGCTTGGTCTGTTTTCTGTAATAACTCATTTGTTTACTCAGAATCACTGCTATTAAAGAGAAGGAAAGCATTCACTAAATAGTTTTTTTTTTTTTATATAAGCATTGTTTATAGCTTTATATATAAACAGCATACAAAGACTAGAATTGGACCATTCCTGTTCATTTGAATGTGTAAGGGCAGAGGTTATGTAAAGTCACTATTACAATATTTTTATTTTTAGGATATAGTTTAAAAAATTCTCTTGCTATTCAAGCTTTTCATAATGTGAAGTAATTGTCTCTGTCATTACTGTTCATTTTAATTCTGGCACATTATTGGTACTGGCTGAAGAGCTACACGCAGTGCATGAAACCTCATTCACTCACCCTTTTCCATATACTACCTGAAAAATATTCTATTTCAGGGTCCTCTGCCATCCCGCAAATCTGTATTATGTAATTCCCTTTTTTTAAAAGATAATTTGTATGAAAGATATTCTATTTCAGGGTCCTCTGCCATCCCTCAAATCTGTGTTATGTAATTCCCTTTTTTTAAAGATAATGTAGAAAGTGTTTCACTTGTCAGCCCTTACATAATTGTGTTGATTCACTGTCTTTTCCATAGTAACTAGTGGAATATTTATATAACAGTTTTAAGATAAAGTTATTGGGGGATGTGGTCCCCATTTACATGCTTAAATATAGCAACACACACATTTCTCTCTTTTAACCTTTTAGCTCTTTTAAAGCTTTTTAGTTGTCTGTTTCTGTTATTGTGATACTAGATGTCTCTCTTATTTTGAATCATTTTGTAGCATCCAAAAAAAAAAGTGTTAAGTAATTTATCCACATGTGAAATGAAACCACTGTTTGAGACAAATTAATATCTATAGCTGCCAGGTTTTTCTTTGTTGAAGGTTTGGATATTTCTCAATAAGGTTGTAGATTTCAAACTGTAAAAAAGAATCCTGATAGAGAATTAATTCTCCAAGTCATAAATTAAGTCATTTATTTGAGAATGGAAGTGTGTGCTAAAAGTCTTAGTGATCAAACTGATGGCAAAATAAAATTTCAGTGTTCTTTGTGAGAATGGAAAGGTCAATTCATTTATGTTTCTACATCATGGTAATGTACCTGTAACATGAAAAGTGCTACTGCTGCAGGCAAAGGTAAGCACCAGCAGTTGCCCTTGATAAATATATTAGTTTGGTTTTACGTAGAGAGCTCTCTGTAATAATAGAACATTTGCGGACAGCGTAATTGTCATTAAGTCATTACATGTATGAGACTATTAAAAAAGACTTAGGCTGGAAGTATTGTGGGGGAGGAAATCAGGCACAAGTTAAAAGATGTATATTAGAAGACATACACGTTATGACATTACACGTTGTGCTGTGTACACAAATTTTGTACACATTGATGAAACTTAATGTTTTAATGTGAAGTACTTCAAACGAAGTAGTTCAAACATTAAAATACTTGCTGATCTTTTCTATTTTAAGTGTGTTGCATGTTGATTATTTAATTGCCTATTAGTTACTGACATGTTTATGACAACTATTGCTCAAATGAAATGTTGAAATTAAGAAAATTTAGTAAAACTAAACTGCTTTACAGGACTTGGTTGCAACAAAACCTTTCTCTGGCTTTTCATTGTTACCAGTACAGTAGCTCTGAAAATGATCTATGCTCTGTCAGTTAAAATGAGAGGATTGGAAGGTGCTTTTGCTCTTGACCTTGGCATCTTGAATGTCACTGAATACTTGGCAGGGATAAAACTCTCCCAGGCCAGTGTCACGCTGTCTCCAGAGGGGCCTTTGGAGCTTTTCTGATGTGTTGTGCCCTGAGTGAACTGTCCTAAAGATACAGTGCAGAGCAGGTTAAACAGAGTGGTGAACCTCAGGGGACTTTCTGTCCCTCTAGCTAAATTATTTCATTTAATTTACGTGTATTGTTAGATACGTGACTATGCTTTTGTAATGCTTAGGTCAACTTTTGTGTTTAAAAGAAATGCCAGTTCTTATGAATGGTGGAAGACTAAACTTCCCATCAGACTAATTGTCTGTAGATCTGTGTTCCAGTTCAGTGTCCTTATAAGCTGCTCTTCTGAATATGTTGTAATATTTTCTGCAGTTAAAAACAAATTTTTACAGGGAAGTTGCTTATCAGGTGTGTATCTGCATGTATTTATTTTAGTGTCAAAATCCCTCTGTGTAAAATACTTTATCTTCCAATTTCTGAAATGTTTGCAGCTTTAAATTGACATACCTAACAAAGCTGACCAGTTTGTCATTTTTCATCTAATAATTCTAAGGTGATTGCCAGACTATCAGAGGGCTTTTACTTTCTTAGCAGTTTTCACTTTTCTGTACATTTTTATGAAGAACAGCTATAGATATTTTCTTCAGTAATGGATGTATTATCTTCAAAAAAAAAAAAAAATTAGGCAAGCTGCTCCCTGACTTGGCTTCATGCTGTTGACCTAGAATCTTAACTATGTAGTGAGGCAAGAGCTTCTGAGAGAGGCAGGGGTTGGCTTACACGCATGGCATCATACTAGAAAGCTATTTTGAGAGCTGAAGCATGAACGATCACTATTTTCCTTTTGCTTCCTACTCATTTGGATTGCAGCAGACTTCTGATATTTTCTCTCTTTAGTAGTATGTACTTTTTTTGTTTGTTTTTGTATCAGAAAGGAAATCAGTAGCAGCAAAGTTACAAGTCGGTGACTGTATGTTGTTGTCTGGAAATACCTGTCCTGAGTGCACGTGAGGTAGAGATCACTGTCCTGCAGCTCAGCCCAGCAACACGAAGTGTGAAGGTTTCTTAGTCTACTTCACTATAAAATTAACAAATATCTTCACTGTTGATTAAGCTAAGCATGACAACTTTGCAGGGATTGAGATGAAGTCATATTTGTTTTTACTGGGGTGTTGCTAATCTCTAGCAGAGAATATCAGAATACAACGAAATAACAAAGATGGGGTGAACAGTGATGTCTTCAGTTTGCACAGATTTTTTTTGCAAGGTAAATGTGCATCTGTGACTGGAGACTTTGAAGGGGGAAGAAAAAAAAAATGACCAACAAACCTCCATCCTCAAAGGTTGCTGTAGGAAAATGGAGCCAGTAAAGTCGATGGGGGCCTTAAGTTGACATGTCCTTTCCATCTAAGAACAGTAAATAAATAAAGAGTTTAAGAGCAATGAAAATATTTTTCTTGATTCTTTGTATGTGGTTTGTCTTACAGAAGTTGCTCCTATTTATAGTTCTCAGAGTTGGTCAGAGTGACTTTGAGGTCATATTGACTTAGTCTTTTAAGTGTGTGTGTGCGTGTGGTGTTGCCCAGTGTGATCTTCCAACTACAGTTCCAGATGGATTTTTTTTGCGGAGAATGAATTAAGGTTGACTGCAGCAAGTGATGAGAAATGACCCCGGTGAGCTCATCTTGAGGTAAAATACGATCACTTTGTTTATCCAGTCCCTGATATGGCTAGACCTACTCCAGTTGGGTTGCTAGTTTTATAAATTGTTTTGTTTGTTCATGACTGAACACTTCATTTTTTAGAAATTAGCTGAAGAAGGAGACAGGAAATGTCCTGTTGCTGGAATCAGCCAAACTACAGTGTTTTGTACCACTAGAGGGTGTAGATAATCTTCAGTAATACTTTGAAAATCCTTCTATATAGGTTATTTAGGGGAATTGGTGTTCTGTTGCTATATAGTCTCCCTAAAATGGATAACAACAAAAGCATTTTTTTCTCCTGTCCCCAAAAACAAA